CTGATCAGGGCCTGGGGAGTGTTGTGAAGTCAGGGATGTAGACACATTGACAGGAGGAATTCTGACTGGTGGGACCTGCACAGGGGAGCACGTACAGGTTGGTATGAGGGAGCATTTGGCCAGCAGATGCTGTGATCTTCTAGACTCTGGGCATCTACAGGCTGCCTACCTGGGATGCTTCTGCCCAGTCTCTGATGTTGGGTTCTGTGGGTATGGGGGGCACCATTCAGTCCCACCTGTCATCTTTAGGCTGCATTCCTTTGTGACCATGTGCGGCTCAGCTGGAGTGGTCAGCCTCAGTGTGGTTGACGCTGGTTTAAGTCAGCATGGTAATAAAGTCTGTAAAAACACTTTAGAAATAGTGGTTTGATGGCTGGTCCCTGTTGTTAGAGAACAGGGTGGGGAGGTTTTCAGGGAAGGAATGGGAAATGTGGAGGGGAGCTTCTGAGTTTACTGAGTGTCAGGAGGAAACCTAGGGACACAGACCAAGTCTTACCCACTTTCCTGTAGCCCTTGACGCTTTGTACGCTAATCAGCTATGTAGAGATGATCAAAATAAAATAATTATCAAAAAAAAAGGTGGGGCACAGACCAGTTTCCAAAGCCTACGTTTTTATTAATGGAGTCAAACAAAATGTGAAACTCACAAAAGAGCCAAGTGGTTGAAGGTTAAATACCATGTTCATAAAAGGAAAGAGGAGTGGAAGTTGTGGGGAATTGCAGAAGAGAAGTCAGTGAGTGGGTTGAGGAGGGGGAGGGTGCGCCTTGGGAAAAGGACAGTGGGAAGTGAGGGAACCTTCTTGTGTGTGCTGTTTTCTCACACACCATGGGACCATGTTGTCTGAAACACCATCAGTGTCTCTGCACTTTCAGTCTCTTTACTGACATCTTCCAGGCCACAGGCTCTGCTATAAAGTGGGGATTAACTGTAGGATGTTTGGTGGGGATATGCAGGTACAGTCCCCCTGCTCAGTTCATTCTTCTCCAGGGTGGCTTTCCTGGGTACCCCAGACCCTGGCATCCTCTGTGTCCTTACCTCCTGATGCACTTAGCAGTGGCTTGTTCTTCTCTTGTCACACTTAACCTTTGCTGTATGTACTGTTCTGCTGCAGCATTTTCTGGAAGATAGAACATTATTGTGCTGAAAGTGCCCAGGTGACAAGCTCAGCCATATTCCAGAGGAGGAGCTGAAGCCAAGATGGGTCTAGGCGTTTCTGACTAATTAACCTGAGAGACAAAGTGATTCTCTGGTTCATTGCTCAGATACACAGTGAACTGAGTGTGGGCCAAACAGGGTTGAAGCCAGGAGCTGGGAACTCAAGCTTGGTCTGAGTGGCAAGAAAGTTACTTGAGCTGACACTGCTGCCTCTCAGGGTCTGCATTAGGAGGAAGCTGCAGACAGGAGCCCAAGCTAAATATTGAACCCGTGCGTATTGGTACAAGACACGAATTAGCTTAACTAACATCAGCCACTAGGCTAAACATGTACAACAGAATTGACACTTTCTTTAATAAGATATTTGAGGCAGTACATGAAATTTTCATCACTAACTACAGATTGTTTCTTGACAACTAGTTAAAGTTCTGCCCTCTCACCTCCCCAATCTCCTTGATTAGAGGTAATATAATTTCGGTAAGTCCATTCCAAGGTTTCCTATTCAGGAATTCCTTTAATTCCTTTAAATTGGACCTTAAATCCCATCAAGAATGGTGCACATTATGTGCACAGATGTCTACAACTCCAGTTTCAGTGAGCCTTTCACCTAGAAGATAACCTGTTTGCCATATGCAGTCTGCTAGGGACTGTTGCAGCACCTGGTAGTATTCAGTTCCTCCCTCCACAGGACTTAACATTATATGGAGTCACTAAAAATAACTGATACAACTAAAGGAATGGCTAAGACTAAAGATGTAACAATGACTAAACAATAGCAATGAGATACTGCTGCCAGATCACCATAAACACTCAGAGGGAATGAGAGCACAGCGACAGAAAAGGTGAAAGTGAAGATGACCATAGACTAGGGATTTCTGCATACAAAATCCATATGCTGCAGCACTGGATGAAAGAGGAAGACAGCTTTTGAAGGTGAAATGAATGTAAGATTGTGGAGAACAGAAAGATCTTAAGAATACTGTAAGACATACCTAATTTTCAGTAGTGTGCTGCAAGGTCCTTTTGTTTGTTCATCTTACTGGATATCCCTTATGGTGTGGGTGCAGTGACCCCTGTCACAGAGCTCCCCTCTGCTGCCTTGTAGATGTTTGACCCTCCCATTTCTGCATTATTTGCAAAGCCTGCCCTTCCACTGGTGAAGCATGAGTATTTATGTTCATTCTCCTACTCTGAGTTTTGTAATTATTTCATTGAAGTCATGTCGCAGCTAACTTCATTATCATCGTATTTACTATTTCCTTTAAGCCTAAATTAGCAAGAGACCCTAGCAAAACCTGCCATCTGGAGATCAGATGTTTAAGACACAGTGCAGGCGTAAGTCAGTCACTTTCAGCTCCTCACTGTGGCATTTCTGTTAGCTGGAAACAGGAGCAAAGAGAAGGTTAAATACAGGCTGCTAGCCCTTAAAAAGTGATGTGTTAAATATATTGTAAGGGGCTTGCACAATAGCCTAGCGGCTAAAGTCCTCGCCTTGCACGTGCTGGGATCCCATATGGGCACCAGTTCTAATTGCAGAAGCCCTGCTTCCCATCCAGCTCCCTACTGGTGGCCTGGGAAGGCAGTCGAGGTCAGCTCAAAGCCTTGGAACCCTGCACCTGCGAGGGAGACCTGGAAGAGGCTCCTTACTCCTGGCTTTGGATTGGCTCAGCTCCGACCATTGCAGCAGCTTGGGGAGTCAGACGGAAGATCTTCCTGTCTCTTCTCTCTACATATCTGACTTTGCAATAACAATAAGTAAATCTTTTAAAAATATATCATGAGCCCCCTTTTAGTTTTCTTTTGTCTAGTCTTTCATTGCCTCTTTGGTTATGTTTTTTCCATACCTAGAAGGCGTCCGTCTCCCAAGCTATGAAGCTCTCATTTTCATTGGCATGGCTTTAATTTCAAATTCATGTTTAGTTAAGGGATTAGCACATAACCATTTTAAACTGAATTTCTTTACACAAAAGGGAGCCCATGGTGGGAATAGGCCTCCAAAGCCAGAAGAGAAGTTAATTGTAAAAAATCAACGCAGCAAGAGCTGATCACCTTTCTGAAAGACAAGACAATGCAGCACACAACCTCAAAATAGATCTTTGGAGTCACGTTGATGTCATGTTGAAGAATCGATATTTACTGGGCTTTATAAAGTTAGCCTTTAATGAACTCCAGAAATTTTGCCAGGCCGTTAACTGCAGGAAGAGGAGAAGCAACTGCAGCTGAAGTCCGTGGGCATGGAGGCTTTTATACAGTCAGTGAAGAGACAGCCACTTGCCAGTGTGCAGAGGCCCCAGCCTTCGGTCACTCAAGCATTGGTGGATGCCTGTGTTGCAAGGTGTTCTTGGGATCTCACTGAAATGCTTTCAAGGAGGGCAGTTATTGCATTTCTTCTACTGGGAGAAAGTAAGCCCTTTATTCTTTGTTAACTCCTCACCCAAACAGTGTAGCTTCATTCTTCTGGGATGAGTCCTGGTATCATTTTAACTTCTGCCTTGGCAGCTTGCTAATCACAGGGTCAGGGGCATCGCATTGTTGAGTTCCTCATCCCTCTGACCCACCAGACAGCTTCTCCACAACAGACAGTTGTATTCAAGAGCAGTCACTTTAGAACGCTGGCTTGAATCCAAGTCGCATGTGAGCTTTTGGATAAATAGTATCATTTACACTTACTTATTCAGTCATCCAGCACAAGTGTTTCTCTGCTGATTTTGTGTGTAAATGTGTTTGGTGTGGCTCATTTGAATTGTCTGAGTCATTTGTGGGTCAGCAGGCTCCTCTTCTATTCATTTTAGGCAGTGCCCCTAATATTGTCAGCTAGGTAGAAAAATGTGTTTTATCCTGGCTGTGACCATACAAAAGATACTAATGGGCCCGGCACGGTAGCCTAGTGGCTAAAGTCTTCATCTCACGTGTGCCAGGATCCCATATGGGCACCAGTTCTAATCCTGGCAACCCTGCTTCCCATGCAGCTCCCTGCTGTGGCCTGGGAAAGCAGTTAAGAATGGCCCAAAGCCATGGGACCCTGCACCTGCATGGGACACCTAGAAGAGGCTCCAGGTTCCTGGCTTTGGAACTTAGCTCTGACCGTTGCAGCCACTTGAGGAGTGAATCAGCGGACGGCAGATCTTCCTCTCTGTCTCTCCTTCTCTCTGTTATCTGACTTTGCAAGATAAATAAAACAAATCTTTTTTTTAAAAAGATACTAATGGAACTTCCATAATCCGTAACTAAATGTCAAAAGCTGCTGTATCAGTCCCTGTGAGGGGAGGTTTGTAACAAGTTCTTGGTCATATCTCCCAGTAGCTGGGTTTTGGGTTTGAGTTTCTAGACTTCTTTCTCTGGTAGTGTGCTCAGGGGCAGCTTTAGAGTTCATCAGAGGTAAGAGCTGGCCATTCTACCCTCACTCCCACCCCTGCACCTTCTCTACTCTTGGACAGAGTAAATGCTGAAGCTGTGGGCTGGTGTCCTGGCATCACATATGGGCACTGGTTCCAATCCTGGCTGCTCTGCTTCCAATCCAGCTCCTGGCTAATGTGCCTGGGAGAGCAGCGGAGGGTGGTCCAAGGCCTTGGGCGCCTGCACCCATGTGGGTGACCTGGAAGAAGCTCCTGGCTTCAGACTGGTCCAGTCCTGGCCATTTGGCTATTTGGAGAGTGAAACAGCACGTGGAAGATCTCTCCTGTCTCTCTCTCTCTGTCCTTGTCTATCTAACTTTTCCTTTCAAATCAGAAGAAATGAATCTTCAGTAAAATACTAAAAAGCACAAACAGGAGAAATTCATTGATGTGTGAATATTTTTGTCATCTTGAGGTATTCACTCTGAGTTTTCACTCTTCCCTTTCAGTTGTTTGAGAACTTCTACTTTGGGTCCCTACGGCTCAATTCCATTCACATATCTCAGAGGTTCACAGTAGACAGCTTCGGAAACTACGCCTCCTGCGGACAGATTGACTTCTCCTGAGGTGGGTCTCAGAGAGCACCAGAAGCTGAACATCCTCATGAGGTGCTGAAGATAATCTCCACCCTCTACACCAAGGAGACATGCAACAACGTGGAGGGTGACTTTCCCGGTGCTTTCTAGGGACTCCCCAATGAGCAAAGCAGCAGGCAGGACGGTGGGGGCACAGGGGCAGCCTGTGTCTGTAGTCCCGGCCTGGTCTGTGTTTCAGGTTTCCCCGATGCATATGGTAGAATACACATAAAATGTCCCATTTTCACCATCTATAAGTACATGCTTCCTTGTTATTTACACAGACACACCGTGTTGTGTACACATCCACATTGACACCTGTATCACCGTTTCATTTGTAAAACTACAGCTCTCTCCGTGGCATAGCGACTCCTCATCTGCTGCCTTCGCCAGCAACAGCCCGCACCCTTCCCTCCATGTCTGTGACCTACACTGTTGCAGACAGTGAACGCCACCTTTGTGGTTTGTGTACCACAGCTTATTGAGCTCTTCACCCACCCCATGGGCTCTCAGCCAATAATGCCGAGCTGGCCGGAACCCTGGTTTCACGTCCTCTACCACTGAGAATTTGATCTTTAGCAAGGCAGCTGTAACAGTTTCTACCTTTTTTTACTTTCCTTCTCAAGTTGGATCCTTTAAAACAAATACTTGTTGATTTCCTATCTATTGCCCTTCAGCATCCCCGGATGGAGTGGAGATGTTGTAGTTGTCTGAGTGCAGCAGCAGCCAGCCACAAAGCTGTGCATGCTCCACTTGCAGACCCACAGAGTAGCCCCCTACCCCAGCCAGTCCTTCGGGGGGTCCTGTGGAGGCCTGGAGGGGGAGCTGCAATCTCTCACTGCTCCCTCTGTGTCCCCAGTTTTCCCTTTCTCTCATTCCTCAGTGCTATCTTGGTTTGAGCTTCCTCTCCTTAGGTCAACTCTGAACGTTGCCTGCCAAGCTCGCTACATTGAGAGCACTGGGTCTCACACAGAGATTAGGTTATCAGTGGGGCTGTGCTGACAACTTATAGGGCCGTGAATTTACAAGATGGCTGAGTTTTTTCTCTCAGAATGACTAGTTTTCGTAGCCCACCCCACCCAGTGTGTGTTGGGGAAGGGTGTGAGTACCACTTACCAGTGGGCATGGCTATATCATCACACCCAGAAGTTGAAGGAGTTGGGAGTTGGTGACTACAAGGAAAGTCCACCTCCTCCTGTTGGTGGTCAGGGTTTTTTGTTGTTGTTGTTGTTTGTTTGTTTGTTTTTAGTTTTATTTATTTTACTGGAAAGGCAGATATACAGAGAGGAGGAAATGCAGAGAGAAAGATCTTCCATACGCTGGTTCACTCCCCAAGTGGCTGCAATGGCCAAAGCTAAGCTGATCCGAAGCCAGGAGCCAAGAACCTCCTTCAGGTCTCCCACGCAGATGCAGGGTCCCAAGGCTTTGGGCCGTCCTTGACTGCTTTCCCAGGCGACAAGCAGGGAGCTGGATGGGAAGTAGAGCATGGGACACAAACTGATGCCAATATGGGATCCCAGTGGTGCATGCAAGGTGAGGACTTTAGCACTAGGCTGTCACACTGGGCCCTGTTTAGGGTTTTTTTTTTTTTAAAGATTTATTTTTATTATTTTTTATTGGAAAGGCGGATATACAGAGAGGAGAGACAGAGAGGAAGATCTTCCGTCTGATGATTCACTCCCCAAGTGAGCACAACGGGCTGATGCTATGCCAATCCGAAGCCAGGAGCCTCTTCCGGGTCTCCCACGCGGGTGCAGGGTCCCAAAGCTTTGGGCCGTCCTCGACTGCTTTCCCGGGTTTTTTTTTGTTTTTTTAAAGATTTATTTATTTTCATTGGAAAGTCAGATATACAGAGAGGAGGAGAGACAGAGAGAAAGATCTTCCGTCGGATCATTCACTCCCCAAGTGAGCGCAACAGCTGATGCTGTGCCAATCCAAAGCCAGAAGCCAGGAACTTCTTCCGGGTATCCCACACGGGTGCAGGGTCCCAATACTTTGGGCCATCCTCGACTGCTTTCCCAGGCCACAAGCAGGGAGCTGGATGAGAAGTGGAGCTGCCAACATTAGAACCGGCACCCATATGGGATCCCAGCACGTTCAAGGTGAGGACATTAGCCACTAGGCCACGCCGCCAGGCCCCCTATATAGGTTTTTTGAGCTGAAGTTCTGCCTGAGCCCACCTTGTTGAGTAGCACATAAGGATGAGTGCTCCCGCAGAACCATGAGTTGTGAAGCCCACAGTGGGATACAGGGCCCCATCCCAGCTTGGTGCTGCCTCTTCCCATGGCTCCTTTCTGAGGAGCCCATGGGCACCTCTGACCAGGAAGTATCCATGTCTTCTTTTAGGTGTCAGAGATGTATGGCTTAGGTTTGTAGGAACTTAAAAAGTTTTGTCTTTGGAAAATGTTAATGGAATTGGAGATTCTGTTATTTACAATTCAGAGCTTAGCATTTCCTGTACATTTAAGCAAATATCATATCCTGAAGTAATTTTTCAAGTTCTTTGCCTCTGGGGCTGCCTTTGTGGTGTAGTAGGTTAAGCTGCCACCAACAATGCCGACATTCCATATGGACTCCAGTTCACGTCCTGGTTGATCTGCTCTGAATTCAGCTTCCTGCTAATGGCCTGGGAAAAGCAGCAGAAGATGGGCCAGGTATTTGGGCTCTTTAACTCATGTGGAAGACCAGAAGAAACTCCTGCGTTGGCCCTGGCCGTTGTGGCCATTTGGAAAAGTAAACCAGCAGATGGAAGATCTGTCTTGTCTGTCTGTCCCTCTCTCTTCCTCTCTCAGTGTAACTCTGAGTTCCAAATAAATATTTTCTTTTAATTAACTTGCCCTTTTCACCCTTATTTCCTGCTAAGTGTGAAGTGGACTTTCCCAGAGGCTACATTTATTCTCCTGATCTGGCCTGTTGGTTCAGCTGGCTAATCCTCCACCTCCAAGCACTAGCTTCCCGTATGGGCTCTGCTTCATGTCCTGAATGCTTCGCTTCTGTTCCAGCTTCCTGCTTATGGCCTGGAAAAGCAGCAAAGGATGGCCCCGGACCTTAGGACGCTGTATTCACATGGGAAACCTGGAATAGGCTCCTGGCTCCTGGCTTTAGATCGGCTCAACTCCAGCTGTTGCAGCAATTTGGGGAATGAACCAGCAAATGGAAGATCTTTCTCTCTGTCTTTCCTTCTCTCTGTAAACCTACCTTTCCAATAAAAATAAATCTTTTTGGGCCCAGCGGCGTGGCCTAGCGGCTAATGTGCTCGCCTTGAACGCGCCGGGATCCCATATGGGTGCTGGTTCTAATGCTGGCAGCTCCACTTCCCATCCAGCTCCCTGCTTGTGGCCTGGGAAAGCAGTCGAGGACAGCCCAAAGCCTTGGGACCCTGCACCCGTGTGGGAGACCCGGAAGAAGTTCCTGGCTCCTGGCTTTGGATTGGCATAGCATCAGCCGTTGCGCTCACTTGGGGAGTGAATGATCGGACGGAAGATCTTCCTCTCTGTCTCTCCTCCTCTCTGTATATCTGACTTTCCAATGAAAATAAATAAATCTTTAAAAAAAAAACAAAAAATAAATATTTTTTTAAAGTTTATTCTCATTTTATCTGAAAGAAACAGAGATTTAAAGGGAGAGAGACAGAGATCTTTGTCTACTGATTCACTTCCTAGATGCCTATATCTACAGCACTGACCAAACCAAAGCCAGGAGCCTGGAACTCATTCCAGGTCTCCCATGTGCATGACTCCCCAAAAGTTGTCAGGAAGCTGGATCAGAAAACAGAGTAGCCAGGACTCAAACCAGACGTGCCAGTATGGGAAGTGGTACGTGAAGCTGCATGTTAGCCACTGTGCCAAATGCCCACCCCAGAAGCAGTCTTTCACTCACTCTCTCTCTCAAGTGTTTGATGTAATTTTGTAGAGGCTAGGTGACATGGCATCATCACTCTGTGATAATAGTATATGTGCTTGTGTATTTTTGACTTCTGGAACTTTGTAAGTAGGTGATTTGGGGCATATGGATGTTTGTTTTCAGAGATAAATCAGTTCGCTCTCAGTGCTTATTCTGTACCCTTACCAGCTGTTTTAATTTGTACCTACTGTTTTTGGAATTGAACAGTGTCCCTTCCACCCTTCAAGTTCCTGTGTTGAAGCTGACCCCACTGGCTCAGAGATGTGGCTAGATTTGAAGGAGGGGCCTCTAAAGAGGGGATCCCATTAAAGTGGGCTGTTAGGGTGGGCTCTAATCTATTAACAACTGAAGCCCCTGTGAGAGGAAGTTGACACACAATGATACAGGACTGGGGTTCACAAAGAGGAGAGACCATATGAAAACAGCACCAAGGTGGCCTTCTGAGAGCCAAGGTGAGAAGACTCCAGAAAAACCAACCATGCCAACAGTTTGATCTTGGACTTGCAGCCTGTGGAGTATGGAAACAAATTCCCTTGTTGAAACCAGGCAGGCTGCAGTACTGTGTTACAGTGGCCCAGGCAGGCCAATGGCGTCTTGGTCTAGGCAAGAGCTGCCGTGAACACCCGCCTGAGCTCAACATGAAAAGAAACATGCACAGTGTGGAACAGAAGTACACGTTTGCCGATGTGGAGGGAGAGAGAAATCCACTTTTTACAATTACTAGTATGATATGGGTACATTATTAAACTTAAAGATAATCTTATAAGATTCTTTAGTAACATGCAAAAAAATACCTATCCCTATCTAATTCACATAAACAAACGTTTCTTGGGGTTTGTAGTTCTTGCTGGTGCTAAGGGCTCCAGAGGCTAGGCAGTTTAACTGCTGCACTGTCTTCCTTCCACGCAGGACTGTGTTGCATATGATCTACCATCATGAGTTTCACCTACCCTGCAGCAGGGGACGCACCATTCTGAGTGTCAGTAGAGAGTGACATGGCTGTTGTGAATGTCTGCAGCAACAGGCCAGTCTAGGTATCGATTAACAGGCACATTTGTGGGCTACATGTGATGTTTTGAAGCACGTATACATTGTACAAAGTTCAATGGGTAAATGTATCATTCAAACATTTAACAGTTCTTTATGGTAAAGACATTCAAAAATCCTATTTATTTATTTGTTGTAAGAGAGACGATACAGTGCATGAGACAGAGACAGATCTTCCATTTGCTATTTCACTCCCCAAATGGCTGAGGCCAGGAGCCTGGAACATCGTTGGGTGTCAGGGATCTAGGCACTCAAGACATCTGCTCTCACAGGTGTGTTAGTTGGAGCTGGGTCAGAAGTGGAGCAG